TGGTAGTATTCATCTTATTTTATGTTGTTCTGTTATGGGCTTATGTCTGCTGCTCAGGTCTAGAGGGGATTCATCTACTCAGCCTTCTGCTTTTTGTAATACATGACTTTGGATGCTACATAGTACATGAACTGTGACTGAGGGCGGGTTGGGAAACACACCTGCTCAAAATGGCATATAAGGGTAGATATTTATGCTATTGTACATCTATTGTAAAAGCATATGCACTGCTTCTGCCGAGAGTGCCAGGAACAACCGTGCAACCATTCCACTAGCTGGCCGCAGGATAAGTGCACAGCTGAAACCTCGGCAAGTACCTTAACTTTCTACACTGGCTCATAGATGTTCTCTCTTCTACGCCCACAAGCTGAAGTGTCAGCCCAGAGTTTTAACTCATGCCCAGCATTGCAAAGAATTTGTAAAAAGCCAAGCTTATTACAAATATTAAATTTAAGCCCCAGTTCAGCAAGGCACAAAAGCACATGCTCGCTGATTAAGTGCTTTGCTGAATTGGGACCTTACTCATTGCACTAATGTGATGGTCCCTGCAGGAGAAGGGATGGGGAATAGCAGTAAAAGATGATGATCTTTCTCCATTAGCAGAGCTTGTTTTTACCCCCATAGGAAATCCAGGTGATAATTAATATATCTTGCCATGGTTGTGGACCTAATAGGTCTTTTTACTCCTAAGCTATTTATGGTCACATACAGTGGCCCTGAAGCAGTCCAAGGAATGTGTGAGACCCTAAGTCAGGAATAACACGTACCTCATAGAATATCAAGGTTGGAAGGGACCTTAGGAGGTCATCTAGTCCAACCACCCCCTGCTCAAAGCAGGACCAATCCCCAGATAGATTTTTCCCCAGTTCCCTAAATGGCCCCTCTCAAGGATTGAGTTCATAACCCTGAGTTTAGCAGGCCAATGCTCAAACCACTGAGCTATCCCTCCCACTTATCAGTAGTAACACCCTGGACTGAGGGACACAGGGAGAGAGAACATCTGTCACAGGAAGAGTGTTATAAACATAATGCTAGAGCAAAATCTTTCCCAGCCCTTTCTAATCCTGATTTCCTTTCCTTAGTTTCAACTGAACTAAGAGTGTCCAGATAGGCTTTTGCAGCTGGTTTAAATAAACTGGTTTAAAACCACACCTCACATTAAAGCAGCTTGGTGAGTTTGCAAACTCATGATCTCTGCTTTTTAATCTCCCTAGGTGTTAAAAAGAATCAGATGTTTCTAGCTAACTCGTTAGGGGATTGTGAGCATTAACGAGGGATCGATTATGCCTTTAGGCATAGCCCTAAGGAAGGATCAGTCAGTGTATAGGTGCACCACCCCCGGGGGAGTACTGGCAGGTATTGTGTACACAGATGACCCCCAGAGCTCTCCTGATGCAGTGGAATGGGTGAGTATAATTTGTGGGTGCCATATTTTGAGTGGCTCTGCCTGTTCCTCACCCACTTGATACCTGGAGGTGGGGAGTATCTAGCACCCATCCCCTGTGCTTCCCACCCCAACTTGAGCTCAGGTCTGAGTAGCCTTAACACAGGAGGAAGTTGGATCCATACTTCCCTATGTGGCTGTGTTAGGGGCTAGTTACGTTCAAGCCTAATATTATTGTCACTTGAATATACACTGACAGGCATGTGATGGTAGGTTATTGTGTGGAAAAATAGCATGCATTTCTTTTCAGTGCCCACCTGCTAAGGGCTATTACCACATATATCTTAAATGTCCACGGGTAGGTGAACTTTGGAGTGAAATGTAGGTTTTATTTTTAAAAAAATCAACAAAACCGAAGGAAATGTTTGCAAAAAATTCTTATAAGAAACAATTCCTGGAAAAAAACTAATAAATATTCTCAGATTGGTTTGCAACACAAACATTGCAGCATTGCACCCGTGCATGAAAACCACAGCCAGAAAGTGGCTGGACACAAAAGTGAAACTGGACAGTTTATTTCCATTGTTGAAGTTTGTGTGGATTGCAAAATAAAGGATTTTAGAAATTCCTGCTGTTGGAAGAAACCGAAGTGGGGTTAGTAACCTGAAGGAAGCGTGGCTCCGAACCTGAGAGCGTCCCTTTCAAAAGAAACCAGACGTGAATTCGATGGATTTTTGACGTCCACAATTGTGTTGACTTCAATGGAGCTAGGCCAGCTGAAGAGCTATTCCGTTAAGAAAGTAGTAACTTAGGCATGTAGGCCAGGGGTGGGCAAACCTTTTGGCCCGAGGGCAACATTGGGGTTGCAAAACTATGGAGGGCCGGGTAGGGAAGGCTGTGCCTCCCCAAACTGCCTGGCCCCCACCCCCTATCCACCCTCTCCCACTTCCTGTCCCCTGACTGCCCCCCTCAGAACCCCCAGCCCATCCAACCCCTCCTGCTCCTTGTCCCCTGACCACCCCCCTCCCAGGACCCGCACCCACCCCTAACCGCCCCCTGGGATCCCACCCCCATCCAACCCCCCTGCTCCCAGTCCCCTGACTGCCCTGATCCCTATCCACACCCCTGCCAGGCCTCCCAGGACCCCATGCCTATCCAACCCTTCCCCATCTCCTGGCCCCTATCCACCCCCCTGACAGGCCTCCCGGGACTCCCATGCTTATCCAACCCCCCTTGACCGCCCCGCCTCCCCAGAACCTCCGCCCCATCCAACTGCTCCCTGCCCCTTAACCAACCCCCCTTGCTCCCTGTCACCTGACTGCCACCCCCAGGACCCTCCGCCCTTTATCCAACCCCCCCTGCTCCCCACCCCCTTACCATGCCACTCAGAACAGCATGTCTGGCAGCCGTGCCGCCCGGCCGGAGCCAGCCATGCTGCCGCTCTGCTCGGAAGGAGCGCTCCGCTCCACCGCCCAGAGCGCTGCCCGCGCGGTGGCGTGGCTGCGGGATGGGGGGGCAGCAGGAGAGGGGCCAGGAGCTAGCCTCCCTGGCCAGGAGCTCAAGGGCCAGGCAGAATGGTCCCGTGGGCTGGATGTGGGCCGCGGGCTGTAGTTTGCCCACCTCTGATGTAGGCCCTGATCCTGCACCGTAGATGTCAATGAGAGTTTTGCTGTTGATTTCAATGGGAGCAGGATGAAGCCCACTGTCCCACTGAATTCAGTGGACTAGACTGACCGGTAAGCACCTACTCACAGGAGCAGTCCCTTTGAACTTAATGGGACTACCATGCTTGTGCTCACCTATTGACAGTCTGCTCGCTTTGGGTCAGATTTTGTCACCTTTCCCTTCACCGAGCAGCATCGTATTTGAGAGCAGGCTGATGAAAATCAACAGGACTGCTTCCAGAGAAGGCGCCACTGAACAGGAGTGAGGGGGGCAGAATGGGCGAGTGGCAGGAGTCAGCACTGTGAATCGGGCCCTGTCCTCATCCCTATTGTGAGAGCACCACGAAGACGCGCCGCATGAACACCAAACTTCTCCTGGGCGTCTGAGTGTGGCCATTGGGTCTGTCCAGGAATGAAGAGCAGAGGCATGTGGCAGTGGGGCGGTGGGTGTAGGATGGACAGACGGCTCCAGCAAACAGGCTAGTGCTGAAATTCTACCAAAAATATCCCTGCCAAGGGCTTTTTATTTAGACACTGAGCTCAGGGAGGGTGGGAAAGAGGAGGCCACCTGTTCTCAAAGCCAAAATGGGCATTTATTTCCCAAAGCCACTAGGAATGTGTCCCCCACTCTCTGGCCCCCTTGTCATCTTCCCACAAGGGGAAAGGGGTGCTGGGTCTTCAATGTCCCCCAAGGGGCTCGAGTTCCAGCTGCTGCCAGGCTGATCTTCCCTTCCGCTTCTCCCTCTCCCCCTGCAGACAGTTATTTCAGATGCGGCTGTAAAGAGACCAAAATACTTGGCAAAGTTAGGCTATAATTGGCCCAGGAGCTGTCAGCCTCTTGCTTTTTTCCCTCTCTCCTGGGCTGCTTTAATAGTCTCTGAAACTCAATCCCCAGAGCCTCCTCCTCCACCCCTTCCCTTAAACCAGCCCCACCCTCTCCTCCACTCCTCCTCCTGCTCCCCCTTTGCCCCTCCTAAACCTGCCCCTCCCCCCCCCCTCCTCCCGCTCCCCCTCCCCTAAACCTGCCCCAACCCCCTCCTCCTGCTGCTCCCCCTCCCCTAAACCTGCCCTAGCCCCTTCCTCCTCCCCTAAACCTGCCACTAGCCCCCTCCTCCTGTTGCTCCTCCTCCCCTAAACCTGCCCAACCCCCTTCTCCCATTCCCCCTCCCCCAAACCTGCCCCAACCCCCTCCTCCCACTTTGCCCCGCTCCCCTCCCCTAAACCTGCCTAGCCCCTTCCTGCTGCTCCTCCTCCACTAAACCTGCCACTAGCCCCCTCCTCCCGCTCTGCCCTTGCTCCCCTCCCCTAAACCTGCCCAACCCTGTCCCAGCCCCCTCCTCCTGCTGCTCCCCCTTCCCTAAACCTACCCCTAACCCCTTCTCCTCTCAGCCATCTGACTCTAACCCCCTCCTCCCAGGTCTCCCTCTTTGCCTCCAGCTCCTTCCTCATCTTCCTCCCCCTCCCTATCTCCCTTTTGCCCCCTGCTTTACATCAGCCCCAACCCCCTTCTCCCTCTCCCCCAAACCAGCCCATCACCCTTTTCTGTCAGCCTCCTCCTGCTCTGCAGCTCCACTCCTGTCTCCACACCCTGTCCCCTCCTCTCTCTCTCTCCCCTCAGCAAACCCCATTATAAACCCTTTCCCCTCCTCCCTCATGTACACCCTCAAATCAGCCCCTCACCCCTTCTCTCAGCCCCTCCCTCCCCAAACCAGACCCTAGTCACCTTCCTCTCTGCTCCCTCCCTCCCTCCATCCCTTCCTCCTTAAACCACTCTCTGGCCCCCTCTCCTCCTAAAGCTTCATCCCCTCCCCTCCAATCCAAGATCGCTCCCTCCCTTATCCCTCTCCCTTCCTTTCACCACACCCCCTACCCCTCTTCCCTCCCTCAACCCCTCCCCCCCCCCCCCTTTCCCAGATCCCAGTTCATTACACTTTCCAGCTCTCTCCCTCAGAGACTAGTCTAACCCCGAGCATTGTCCCTACTCAGGGCTGCTTCTCTTGTAGTTAAATCATCTCTCCCTGGAGTTGGACTCCTTCATATTCCCTCAATCCCTTCTAGCTGTATTTACTTGTCTTTTTTCTCTGTGTGTCTGTGTCATTTTTCTCCATGTCCCTGTCGGTTGCTGGGATGTAGGATATAGAGAGTGGGGTTTTTCCTCCCCTCCAGCACCCTGCTGAGTTTTGGTGTATTTTTTTCTTCTTCTTCCAATCTGGGGGAACAAGTGCCAGTCTCCACTTTGGCTGACAACTCTGCAAAGTACTTTTCAGCTGAGTGTTGAATGTGGCTCGGGAATTGGGCGACAGTTGGCAGCTTTTCTGGTGCTTTTTTGCTACAGGTAAGAGGAATTTTTGTAATCCTAACAGCCATGCACTATAAATATCTGAAGACAACCCTGGTTTATTAGTTTGGATCCATTTTTTTTTCTTTGCGCACTGTGGGTGAAACTAGTGCAGAAGTTTTTGTAGACATGTAGCAACAGGATCTGGAGTTAATGATACAAGAAAAACCAAGAGGAATTGGATTAAATTGTACATAACCCACGTTTTTTATTTTAGTCTGCAAAATTTTAACTGTGCCTACATGCTGTGCTGATGTTTCTGTCAACTTATTACAATACTGAACTTGTGGAGCCAGGTGCTATGTAACTGCTAGATTCCTGGCTGATTGTAATGAGATAGATGCAGAGACTTAGAAACTGGTAATGTCACCATTAAGGAAAATCAAAGGTTTAAAGCTGATCTGAGCTTTTTGGATGTCACAGGAGTGTTCCTTTATCACCATCATTTTTCAAGTTGATTCTGCAGGTCACACTCAGATCAGTATTTTGATTTATCTAGCCTTTTCCTGTACTTACATTTTCTACCAAACCAAACTTATTTAGTTCTGGGTAACCTTTTCGCCACCTCATATTTATTATAAAGCCACTTTGACCCAATTTCTCACTGTAGAATTTGTTTTCCTCTAAACATAGAGCTCTTGCCTAATTCAGCAGTTCTTTTTACATTTTCTTTATAGCATTTTATATATCTGATGCTCTTAGAGTGGTCATTGACTCTTTGACAGCTGACACTCTGCATCCCTTAGTGTACTTAATGCGGTGTGTGTGCATGTGCTTCCGACCTTAAAATAACACATTCCATCTGCTCTCCGTGGACCTTGAGGGGCAGCTTTTGAGAAGCAAGAACCTGCAAAATCTGTGCAGGCAACTGTACGCTTAATTTTCATCCATGCTCACTGCACTTGCATGTGCACTGCTTCAGTTTGGTATGGCAAATGATCAGCTATGCAACTGACTAGCCATTTTTGAGTGTAAATACCAGGTTTGATCATGTCGTCATGATAACAGCATGCGTGACTTAGACATGGAAGTACACACATCACGCACATGAGTGCACCCTCCCCCCACAAACCCATAAATCTGGCCTTGAAGATTCTATGACAACTTATTTTTTTGGAAGAGCAGGAGTTTTTCCTCAGTATGGTTTGCCAAGATTTCAGCTCCTGTCATTGTCATTCACGTTTTCCAGTTTACTGTTGCCTTATACATATGTGGAGGGTGCAGTTTAGTGGTGCTGTGTGTGCCTGGTTTGCAGAGTGCTTCGGGATCTTTGGGGTAAAGTGTGTCATATTCATGACAATATTTGCTATTGTACACATAATTAATAGAATTGACAACTTGTTACTATTTAAAAACTGGACTCCAGCAGGAGTGGCGGAACATCCCCTATCCCGCCTCTCCCCCTGAGGCCCCACCCCCGCCCTGCCTCTTTCCCCCTGAGGCCCCGCCCCCCCCATTCACTCCTCTTCTCTCCTGCCCCCGTTGCTCACTGCTTTTCACCTCTCCTCTCCCCTGCTCCATTTGCCCGGATCAGGAGTGACTCACCTGGAGAGCTGGGGCTGGGAGCTGCAGCTGCCCAGCTCAGATAGGAGGCAGCCCTGGCTGAGTAGAGGCTGGCGCGGGGGATGACCCAGCGCTTTCCCCACCCACAGTAACCAGAAGTAGATCTGAGTGGACACTATTGGGTCCCCTCTTCCACTAGACTTTCCAGTTGAAAACTGGGCACCTGGCCACCCTAATCTGTTACAAAATTTACCGAGTATTATTACAGAGTAATGGTTGGGAGTCAGTATTGCAGACTCATGGGACTACTTGTATGCGTAAGTTGAGCTCAGCATGAGTACAGGCAATTAGAAAGACTTTTACTACCGTGATGATGATGAACGGGGATATTTTACTCTCAGAATATCTACAAAAATGCTGCAGTTCTCATTGGGCTCGACTGTTCCAGTAGATATGGCTCCTGCTATGGGGCAGTGTGGAGTTTCTCTACTGGGATTCTGCCCAGTGGAAACCAAGGCACAGAGACGTTCAGAGCCACATCCTGAGCTCCGTTACAGCAGCCCAAGCCTGGAGAGTCTCCATTGACTTACATAAGAATACAAGAACGGTCCCACTGGGTCAGGCCAATGGTCCGTCTAGCCCAGGATCCTGTTCCCGACAGTGGCCAGTGCCAGGTGCACTGTGTAACCAGACTTCAGTGGAATTGCTCTGGATTTAACTGAGGCCAGAATCTGGTCCTGCAGGACTTGCCTAAAGTCACTCAGGAGATCGATGGGCAGAGTCAGGATTGGAAGTCAGGCCTTCTGACTTCAGTCCCCAAGCTCTAACCAGTAGACACTGATGCCTCAATTGATCATTTTGGGGCCAAGTCTTGTTCACTTGATCAATGGAGGTAATCTCCTTGATTTGAGTGAGACCACTCGCATGAGTGAGACGAGGAAGCTTTGGCTGGGGCCAATTCTTCCACTCTTTACTCATATGGCACAACCCATGGAGTAAAGTACTACTCAGTATTAGAGTTAGGCCTGGGGGCTGGCTGTAGGCTCTTCCTGGAGGAATAAAAATCTTTGGGTGGGTTTCCTGAGCTCTGAGACGTGTGTCTGTGAGAGAGAATCTGTATATGCATACGCTGAATCCTCGCCTGCCTCCCATTGCTGACTTTTCAGATATTTTAGGGCAAACATTTCTCTTACATGCCAGAGCTAGCTCTTGATGGAGACTACGCTATTTCAAAAGAGATTCCTTTGCCTCCAATGCACATTAGAACTCTCGTTAAAATATGTTTCTTGCAAAATGCTTTGTAATTATGTCTGCTTCAAAGAAAACGTCAATTTGTCATTGTATGGCTTTTTCTCTTGAGACCTATTTTTTTTTAATCATCGTTAAATGCTTGCAGTTTTCGCTCTTAAACTTTTCCCCCCTTCCCGTCGTTGGTGGCAGAGCCTTCCAGAAAACCGCACCTATTAGGCTCACGGTGCCCTGTTACTCAGGTCCACTTGGAAACCTGTTGCTGTTTGTCCCTGTACTATGACACCTCAACTATCTGAAGCAGGGTAAAATCCCCCAACCTCTCTTAATTACACTGAAAAGTCCCTTAATGGTCCATAATTATTCCGTGTTCCCTATTTTTTTGAACAGTCACGGGTCCTTGTACCTTCCCACCTTCCATGTGTGGAACGCCCACTGAAGTTAAGACATCAGCGTTTCCCAGTAAAGGTTGTACTGTAATACATTCCCTCCAGCCCAGACCTGGTGGCACGTCCCGCGGTCTTCACTCAGGCCAAGCTGCGACTATGCAATGAATAAGACTGTATCATTTAGTCCTTGCTATATAGCAATGTGTTAAGGGAACCAAAATGTGCAGAAATCACTGGATTATAGCTGAGGGCTTGTGAAAAGGTGTTTGAAATTCCTATGGCACGTTTGGCAGTAGCAGGGGAGTGGTACTGGAGCAAGGACACCAGTAGTGATCTCATAATAATCCTGAAACAGGCTCCCTCTTGGCTTTAACTTGTTCTCTCCTTTACTACACAGAGGCTGCATTTGATGCATCTTTAATGGGCCCATTCCCGCTCCCACTGAAATTAATGGGGGAGTTTGCAATTTACTTCAGTGGAAATAGCACCTTGCATCACACTCCAAAAGTTTGCATATGCAAACCTGATCAAGATGTCTATGTCCCAGCTTGCTTAGCTGAACCATGATATTTTCCATTTGGAATGGCTTATGCAAATGTTTTTCCCCCCATTTTTGCTTTGGGTAGGTGTTCAGCCCTTAAGGTTCCCTTCGAGCTTTGGGTTTGAACAAACCCCCAAACTCAGAGCACATCTTGGCCAGCGCCACCAAGTCTTACCTGGTTTTGGGTCAAAACCAGCATGTTCTGTATCTTTTCTCCCCCGAAGTTGTAAGTTCAGACCAGGTCTTTTTAAAACCCAGGTTTCAGGTTGGTAACGTAACAAAAAAACCCAGACAAATACACTGCTCTACAGCCAAAATGCTTCTGAAATAAATGTAGTCAAACTTTACTAATTCTGGGTCACTGAGAACGAAAATGATGCTTAAAATTTTTGATTGGCTCTAGTTTTCAAGATATACTATTGGGTCAGTATATACGACCCTTGACTTGGGAATGGCGGAGGATAAGTGAGTTATAAAGGGAAGGGATCTCAATTTAAACCAGAAATGACTAAAATACATCTTTGACTGGATCTATGAATAAATCTATGACTGGGTTTGGACAGTACTTGCTTTTTAGGCAAAACAATGAATGATGCAATCTGAAGCTGGTATTGCGTCATACATGCATGATATGAATTGCATCATGTTATTCCTAGAAGTCATGGATGATGCAATCATAACAAAGCTTACATCACTCTGCTGAACAAATTGCCCTATATCAGCTCTAGAAATCATACAGTGTCGTGCTCTCTTATTTGTCAGTGTTTGATTTTGCAAAGAGACACATTTCTGTTTAGCCAAGTGAGCAGAGATGCCTCGTACTTGTGTGAACAGTGCAGATAACTTCTGCTATGTTTGTGGTGAAGTGACTTTTGCATCACAAAAGCGCAGTATAACCACTATGGTTAAGAAAGCCTATCACCTTTATTTTGGCTGCAAAATTGGAGATCAGGACAAGAGGTGGGCCCCACACATATGCTGCAACACTTGTGCAACAAATCTTCACCAGTGGTTGAACAGGAAAAAGAAATCTATGCCTTTTGCAGTGCCAATGATTTGGAGAGAGCCAACAGATCATACCAGCAATTGTTACTTCTGCATGGTGCCTCCAGTTGGGAAAGGTGTGTCAAAGAAGAAAAAGTGGACTGTGCATTATCCAAACATTCCATCAGCTATACGCCCAGTACCCCACGGAGAAGGACTGCCGGTTCCTGATGCACCAGAATCATTCTCACTTGAGTCAGACGAGGAAGAGGATGAAACTTCTGGTCCTGAACCATCAATGTCACAGGACCCACATTTTCTCCCATCCTCCT